CGACCGTCACATGAAAGAATTGCGCCTAAATGCTGCATTGACCGACGCGAACAGCCGGATTTCCAACTTGGCTCACACGATGGATACCATGCTCGAAAAGCTGTCCATGGCGTACATGATTGAATCCGAGCCTAAGCATGTGGTGGGCTACCTTATGGATGCCCTAGCGCCGCCTGATTTTATGGCGACGGTTCTGGAGGAGATGGGTTATTTTGACAACAAGACACTACGCTCTGATGTGTCGGGTTTTATTGCTTCGTCTACTGTGGCTGCGATGTCTCCTTCCTTGCTTTTGTCCTCTGCGGGTGTCTTTCCGTTCCCGGCCGAGCTGCCTGGTGTTCCTCTGGACGCCGATTTTGCGTCGCCATCTGATGGTGCTGATCTGACTGATGACGTGACGTCGCTACCTTCGCTTTCCTTGGTTTCGGCCCCTTTCGCGGTTGACTCTCTTCTGGCTGCCCGTGTTGCTGAGGCCGAGGCCTATGGCCTAGCCGGTCCGGACTTAGAGCGCCTCCGTGCCCTTATACTCCGCTACAGCGATGTGTTTCGCCTTAGTATTGGTGGGGACCCGCTGTGAAGGTTCCCCGGTTGAAGGTCCGTGTGCGTCAGGGGGCTTCGCCAGCGAAGTGTTCTACCCGCCGGTATCCGCCAGCGCACCAGCAATATGTGGAGGAACATATGGCCGAGCTTGAACGCTCCGGCCTGGTTTACCTCAACACCAGCAGCAGGTGGGCCTCACCTCCACGGATTGTGCCCAAAAAAGATGGCTCATTCCGAATGACTGTTGACCTCCGGTCGGTCAACGCTCGCACGGAACCTTTACAGTGGCCAATGCCATAATTGGAAGTGGCTATGGGCTATCTGGCGGGCAGTCGCGTGTATTTTGCCCTCGACTGGTTTCGCGGTTACTGGCAACTACCGTTGGCTCCGGCCAGCCAGGAACGTTTCACCATCATGACTCACTGGGGCATGATGACACCCACACGGGTGTCCATGGGTGGTTCGGACAGCGTTGGCTACTGCCAATCTTGCGTCGAGCTTATTTTCAAAGACGTCCTTTTCGCGGCATTCTCGCCTGGCTTGATGACGTCCTTGGTTACGCGTCTTCTCCCGACACTCTGCGCACTGTACTTGAGCGCGTTTTGAAGGCTTGTTCCTCTACGGGCCTCAAACTCCATCCCAACAAGTGCTCATTCTTCCTCACCACCGCGAAGTGGTGCGGCAAGATTATTTCGTTCGACGGCATTGAACACTGCACGCAGCGGGTAGCGGGGTTTGTTGGTCTCTCCGCCCCTGTCACTGCGGCACAGCTTCAGAAGCTTTTGTGTTGTGCAAATTGGATGCGCGCTAGTGTCCCCAACTACTCCGCTCTCGTTGCACCTCTCATGGCTCTACTGTCTACCGCTGCCAAGTCTGTGGCCAGTCGGAAATAGCGTAAGCTTGACCGCGTTCTGCTCTCAGAGCCCGGCTAGTCGTCCTCCCATGATGCCTGTTTTCAGGCTGTCAAAGACTCCCTGTTGGCTATGGTTCCCCTTGCTCACCCTGAGGATGATGCAGTTGTTTACTTGTTTGCGGATGCGTCGATGGATTTTTGGGACTCGGTTGTCACTCAGGTCCCGGTGGCTGACAGGTCCTTGCCGCTTGACCGCCAACGCCATCGCCCTCTAGCTGTCCTCAATGGCTGTTTTACTGGTGCTTCAAGCCGCTGGCCCATCCCGGACAAAGAGGCGTTTGCTATCGTAGAGAGCTGTAAGCGCCTTGAATACTTGATGCTTCGTCCAGGTGGTTTTATGATTTGCACGGATCATCGCAATTTGGTTTATTTTTAACCTTATTGCTACCGACGGCGCCATGCAGCGCCATCAGGCGGATCGCCTGCAGCGTTGGGCCATGGTCATGACGGGCTATACGTACACCATTCAGCACATCCCTGGCGACAGCAATGTGTTGGCCGACATGCTGAGTCGTTGGCAGGTCGTTCCAGCTGCTGTTTCGTCTAGCGCTATTCGCGCCCTGGCACTGGCACCTGTCTCTCCGTTGCAATCGCTTGAGCTTGTGTGGCCGACCTTGGCTGCAATCGCCGCAATCCAGCAAGCCCGTTTACCACCGCCTGCGGACTGTGCGTGTAGTGATGCGAAACAGTGCTTTATTTTTGCAAATGACGTAATGTGGATCCCTCCGGGCGAAAGTCACCTCCACGCGCGCCTCATGGTTGTCGCTCATGCTCATGTCTCGGGTCATCGCGGGGTGGATGCTACGTTTGCGTCACTGTCGGCTTGGTGTTCGTGGCCTTCTATGTTGATCGACATGACGACGTTTGTTCGTTCGTGTTTGCATTGCATTTGCGTCTCGGGTCGCATGATTCCACGCCCCCTTGGCGAAGCTCTTCACGCCACGAAGCCCAACGAGCTCATCCATGCGGATTTTCTTACCTTGCCACGCGACCGTGTCACTCAATGGACGTACGTCCTCACTCTCAAAGATGATTGATGCCTCGGGGTTCTGTATGCTCACGGGTTTGCCGCTGCAACGGCCGAAGCTTTTGCCACTGGTTTGGTTCGCTGGTTTAGCCTTTTTGGTGTGGTGCCTACGTGGGTCACCGACCGCGGATCTCATTTCCGCAACGAAGTCATTGAGCACGTTGCTCGCCAATTGGGCTCACAACATCACTTTACTACGGCCTACTCGCCTTGGTCAAATGGTTCCGTCGAGGTCCTCCACCGCCAGGCTCTCCGTTGTATGCGCGCACTGCTTTCTGAAATTGGTTTACAGCCTAACGAATGATCCCGTGTCTTGCCCGCGGTCCAATCAGCTTTAAATCATCAGCCGCCCCCACGTTTTGGTGGTGTGGCTCCAGTCACGGCGTTCACGGCACTGCCTGCTGGCTCCCCTTTGAGTTTTGTTTTTGACATGCCTCGTGGTCCACCGCTCAACATGTCCTTGGACGAGTTATCCCAATCCACCCGTGGTCATATTGCTGAGTTAGCTGCTTCCATCGACTCCATGCATCGCGCTATAGCTCAGTCGAAAAAGCACGTCACGTAGCCAGATCCAGCCGGTCGCGCGCTGCTAAAGCGGCGAATTCCGCCCTGGGTGACTATGTCGTGGTAGCCATTATCGCGTCTCACTCGCCCAAGCTCTCTGCGCAATGGCGCAGGCCAAAACGTATTGTCGAGGTGCTGTCTGATTGGATTTTTATCGTGGAAGTTCTCGTTGAGCCTCATGGTCGCTCCACGCATCACGCGAGCCGCCTTCGTTTCTATTGCGACGCTGAGGATCACCTCAACTTCGTCCGACACAATGATGGCGGTCACATGGTCCGTTCGTTTGGTGGTGTCCGCAAAGGCCGCCTCTCGCTCGAGGTTTTGGTGTATTGGTTGGGATTGGACGACGCCGAGGCCTCCTGGGAGCCCTTGCCAAACTTGATAGAGGATGTGCCGGTTCTATTGCAACGTCACCTCCACGCTAACCCTACAGCTCCCCACGTGGCCGCAGCGCTTCGCGCCTTATCCGCGCACTCTCGTGCTCCTACTCCCGTCGATGTTCTCCCGCCTTCAGTTCTTCCCTCCGACGTGGTTGTGCAGCCTGCTGCTCCTGCTGTGCTTTCACTCGCTGCGCCCCCATCAGCCTTGCAGACTGTCGCCCCTGCTCTTGCTCCTACTTTGCCTGCGGTGACCCCCCTTGATTCTCCTCGCTTACGTCGCAATCCACCGCGGAAGTCCGCTCCACGGGGAGGAGGGCGATGTTCTGGTCCTGAGGTCTAGTACCACGGCCAGAAGGCGTCATAAGATGGAGTTGCAGCATCTTCTTGTCGCTTACCGTGTTTCACGCGTTCTCCACTGCATTCATTGAATATTGCTGCATTGATCTCATGATCGCCCATTCGGACTTTCCAATTTGCCTCGTACCGCTCAAGTCATAAAGCTCTTAGTGCCGCCGCGCTCAACATGTCCGCCGAAAACAGCTGGATGCCGCTCGGTGAGACCATCACTCACGGACCCGCAAAATCAAACTTCCGCGAGGAAGATGTGTCTGGTCCAACCATCCATCCGGATGATGGACCTGGTGTGAGTAACACTGTGTTACTCACACCGAATGAAGGTCTTGAAGACGCCATTGGTCGTGCTCCGACTTTCGTCGCCGGTGTTTCCAGCGTCGGGTCCACGGTTGGTGTACCGTCAAGTGAAGACCTCACTCAGGCGGGTGAGCCCTTTGTTGCCGCAGGTAGCTGTGTGCCTTCCGTGTCCGTGGCTGTAGGGGACGGTGTCGGCTTGGGGGACTTTGGAGAGCCGCAGGCCCGGTCGTCGTCCCTAGAGGCTCGAGGTAAAGACGCCTCGGTTGATACTGCC